CAGCCTGCATGACCAGTTAATAGCACGGGCCAGAGCACCACCAAAGCAAAAGGTGCGATCGTCACAGAATACACCATCAGTCACCACACTGTACTAACAGTATACACAACTGCACACTCAGGACTATGGAGTTGCTCTTTGTGTGTCCCAATCTGTGTACATTCAGCATTAGCTCTCAGATGCCTGCACATACCATTCCCTCCGTTATTGGGTTATGATTCTAGTTACGGAGCAGATTCCGGCGAAACCAACGATGTCATAAAGAATGCGAATTCTCTATTATAATATGCCAGAGTCATGGAAACTATGCGCATACCGCATAGCTAACCGCCACGGTAACGCAAACCAAACGCGCGTTGGAGAAATGGCGACAGGCTTCGATATCTTCGGAGAGACTGTCCGCGACTGGCTTGAAGAACCAGACAACGATGAGGCAGAGCTTGAGTCTCTTGTCCCGGCAGCGAGCGACGACTACGAGTCCTCACAAGACCCCGCCAAACAGCCTAGTGCGCGTCGCGCAACAAGTCAACACTGTTGCTCCTACAAAGAGCAATGGCAACGCATGGTAACGCAAACCAAACGCGCGTTGGAGAAATGGCGACAGGCTTCGATATCTTCGGAAAGATGCGAGCTGCTCTTGACACTTTCAACTTCAGCAAGTAGTAGCCTGGAGACAGTCTCAACCAAGCTAGCCGGTGTGAAGCACATAGACTGGTTCAAAGGTTCAAAGGTTATTATTGCATACGCCAGTAAACGCAGCACAATAAACACAAAAAAAATAAAGCAGAATTACATGGTAAAACAAAGCTAGGAACCACGACTGGTTTGAGATAGAAGTAATTGGTGAACTTGATTAGCAACCAGTAAAATGTCTCTTGTTAATGCTGAAAGGCACTGAAGTGCTAACCCTCGGCGCAGTGGGTGTGATTAATTTGTATACACATGCTAAAGTACGTGTACATACTACTAACCTGCTACATGTCATCATGACATCAGTAGGTTAGCAATGGTAGATCATTGCTCACCCTGTGCACATTCTGATGTCTGAATGGTGTAAGGGAGGAGCAGGATAATAACATTGCAGGCTGTGCCTCAGCAGCTCACCTGTCTACGCCAATGTAGATACGGATGACGTACACGCTACACCGTACGCATGCGCGGCACTGTTAATTGGTGGGCTGGTCCAATTTTACCGTTTTACTCACTCGTGGTCGCTTACCAGCTCGCTGAGAGTCGGTCACAGGCTTGCTACACTGCTAGATAGCACGCGGGAGTCGATACTCGTCCTGCGTTGCAACTTCTGGTGCCTCCAAGGTACGCAGAGCTGGCCGAGGTAAGCCAGTGCTAATTTGCATATTAGCTCCTTCACTTTGTTTCACGCCAAAACTTTCGAACGCAGCATTTTTACCGAAATCAAAATAAAGCCAGTGTGACACTGAACCCGTTGGTATCGCTTTTTTGCCGTCTTGTTGCGCGTAGCGGGAGAAAACGTGGTAACAGACAGACAGACGGACGGACGGACGGACGGACAGAATGACAAACCAAGTACTACTAGTAGGCGAATGCATGGCATTTTTGGCGAGCGGGAGCGAGCACACAATGACTGTATCTGCACGAGCCATCATAGCAGCGTGTAGAAGCGCGTTATCCTGACGCTTGCGCAGGTAGCACTTGTGAAAAAGAATGGTAATCATTTCGGATAAAAAGAAGCGCGTAACGAATCAGCGCATGCGCACTTACACGACGTACTGTGGCATAAAATCGCGCCGTTCGGACCACTAGGTTAGCTCGCTCCCGCTCTCGCCAATAACCCTCCAGCGCATGCGCGCCGAGGGTTAACAATGTAATGACGTCCTCTTCCCTTAGTTGTAGATGGATTTCAAGTGGATGTGGGAGCAAGTGGGTATTGGTTTCCCATTCACAGACTGGGCACACCGAGATGTTGCCTACTTTGGGCCATGTTATCAAGGAATGCAACCTAACCGTTCCATGAACTCCCTCGTCAAGCATTGCATAACATAACTTTAACCAACTGACTTCATTTGCAATTCGGGTTGCCTATCTCTTTCGCGCCCCTTCTCCAAGGTTATTTGCCAGTCTTGTTTCATGATTTCGTTTGTTTCATGACTGAATACGCATGCGCATGCGCGAGAATTAGAGTCCGGCCGACTCCTGTCAACACGAGGGCTCAATACGCGCATGATGGCTCTATATTACGTAATAAGTGGCATGTGGCACCTTTATAAGGGGGCGGGGTCGCACGCTTTCCCGGATTGTCCTCCGGAAAAGTTGGCAACCATGCATACCCAAATGAAAAAAGACATACTCAAATAAAAAAGACCATATATACCCAAATAAAAGACCATACTCAAATAAAAAAGACCATACCCAAATGGAAAGACTGTACCCTAATTTAAAGACCATACACCCAAATTGAGCAACTATACCACTGCATAATTTGACACTGATCTCACCCCATAAAAAGCTCTGCAAATCGTTTTGGTACTCTGTTGCTTCCACAGACATTATAAAGGATAATCATTCTAGGAAAATACAGACACATCTGACATGTGTTCACATGGCTCCCGAAATAAACCATCACAGTTGCACTTGTCCATAAGCAGTATTGTGAGAAGTGGGAATGTTGTCCTTGTGTACTGGACCATATGCTTCATTGGAGGTGAGGTGAATGTCTTGTGAACTCTTGACCTCTCCCACCTCCTCATAGGTGACTGATGGAGGGTGGGGAGGGGGAGAGTAGGAAGTGGGGCCAGACAACCTGCCCCTCACTCTCTGTATGAGGTACAGTCCCACTACTCCCAGTAGAATTCCAATAGTTAGAAACACAACACTGCACACAACACCAACAATGACTACTGCAGTTTCATGATCCTTCATCATTCCAGATTCAGTCACATACTCTGAATAAAAATAATATTAAATTACCTTTGATCTCCCCTCAACACATTGAGGTGTGGTAGCATTTAACTCACTTTCGTTACTGATTATCAGCTCAAGAGCTGTTCTGGCAGAGTAAAATGTAAAAGTTGCACTAGTAAATTCAGCCACCCAACTATTACGTAGAGTACGAGTGTATGTAAGTCACTTCGGGCATGCCTCCATGTTACACATGCTAATTGACAGGGTCAGTGAGCCGCCTGATCTGGCTAATTATGACCGGAACGGGTCATTCTGCTGAACATATCACCCAGACAAGGCAGCAGCCAGAACATTACTATAATATTGCAGTCATTCCTTCGTATAATTATGTAAATCACAGTTTACCTCACTAGAGTACATGTCTTTCGTATTTCATGGTCTAGTCTAATCACTAGCCCTATCCACTTCTCGTATTTCATTATCCACGATTTATATGAAGTAAGAACCTACATTTTTCTCATGCAGAGTCAAAACGCAAAATGGATTACATCATTCTGCTAGTGTCAAAACGTAGCTATGCATGCTGACATTATGTGTGACAAGAACGAGGCCAAAGCCAAGCATACAAACGTACATTCTTAGAACATGTGTGTGAAAAAAAAACTCCCTTCACTCTTTACTCTCGATGTGCTTGGTTGTGAAGTTACTAAGAAACAGACTTTCGATGGCCCAGTCGGTAGGAGGCAAATCCACAGAGCTATTCATGCACCCAGGGGTACCCACCACAGTGCCACAAAGTATACAAACCTTGGCAATAATCTCCAGCGGAAGGTCTAGAGAATCCATCGATACAAGCTGGAAGATATATTACATATAATAGATGAGATAACCAATACAGCAGCTTTTAAGCTACGGCCTATATACATGATTCAACTCTGTCGTGTGAGACTGAAACACATGCAACTTCAAATGTATGGGTGCACGCAACATGTTGAACACAATTAGCATGGTCTATCATACCCATACAGTTGCATCTCATACAACAAGATTATATCGTGCATGTGGCGTATACAAATTCACAGAATGCACACATATAATATACATATGCATGCAGACCTGTACAGCCTCTGTCTGGGTCACTGGTGGAAGTGGCACCGTTCACAGGAGTCGCTGCATTAGTCTCACACTCACAGACACCTGGAGGACTGGAGAGCTCTCTGCCACTGAAGTCAGAACACGTGACACAGTCTCCTTCGTGCAGCAACATGTCGTTTGGACAGTCTGCAGGTTGAACAAATATAGCTGATTGTTATACAGCATTTCATGGATTGTTTTAGGGAAAACAATAACATCTAAGGTTGAAAAAATTATGCACACCATATCGATAGGCAAAAACAGTTAAAGATTGAAAAAAATTAGGCCAGCCTCTCCAGACAGACGTCTACGGACGCAGTGCCCTTTGAGAAACGTGGTTCGGTGGTAGATTCATGGGCAAGGTGAGGAACCAGAGCTGTTCCCAGCCAATGCTCTGGACCACCTGTCAGTTTCAGTGCGGGTCCGCGATTCGAACCGGGCACCTTATGTGACAGTCCCCACGTCTCTAACCACTTAGCCACTCGGGCTGTCCTCAAGAGGTGATGAAACATTCCTCACTCAAATCATAAAAAAACCAGGCGGGGATCGAACGGTGGACCTCATGATCCACTGTGTGTCTTTATCCACCACCACCAGACCACACCCAATACTCAACGGAGAAGTCTTATACTGCATATAAACCACTAAGGTGCAAACCCTCAGCATACAGCTAATTAGGAAATTAATAGGTTGGGTAGTGTTGTGTCTCGTAGCACTCTGACACAGGCTAGCTACACTACTACATAGCTTGCACCTGCAGGAGTTAACACTCAACCAGCCTGGGACACATGTGTCCAGAGCCTCAATAATGTCCATACGAATTTATTTGCGGGGTTATGTAATACTAGGCGGCCAAAACTTATCACATAAATTCCTGCTTATTGAAGAAAATACTCATGGCGTCCAAAGGGTCAATAATCGCCCTGCGTTGCAACTTATGGTGCATGAAAATGTATGCAAATCAAGCAAATCTGTACGAGGTAACCTGTGCTAACAAGACTCAGTGTGACAACAAGACTCGGTGACTTACTGTTACAAGGATCATTGGAAGTGGACATACTCCCATCACTGGTGACCAGAGCTGAGTTACAGGTGCAGGAACCCTCAGGATCATTGATGTTTCTACTGCTGCCTCGTGGACATGGCTGACACTCCCCCCCTACCCTGAAATAACTGGTGTTGCACACTGCCGCGTGTGGAGACAGAGAGGGGGAGAAAAAAGGAGAAGAAGTGAGTTATGAAAATTATAGAGCCACTTTTAAAAATTGTACCCCAAAATACGTAATTATTAATTTTATAGCTGGTGTTGTATATGGCGTGTGGAGGGAAGGAAGAAGGTAGACAAAATGGCAACAGTTTTTTATAATTGTAAGTGGGGAAATAAGGGAAAATATGTGGCCAATCATAAACACACACACACACACACAGACCAACTACTGTAACCCTCGCTGCGCATGCGCACCGAGGGTTAATAAGAGCATAGACAAATAACCCAACTACACCCAAATGAAGAGACCATACCCAAATGAAAAGATCATGCCCAAATGAAAAGACCACACCCAAATGAAAACACCATACCCAAATGAAAAGACCATACCCAAATGAAAAGACCAAAAGACCACACCCATAGTTGCCAACCGTCCTGGAAATTTAGGATTTCTCCCGACCAAGTCCCGGGCGAGGAAAAATAGCAAAATTACCAGGAATTTTCAGGTCTTTTTTATTTGGGTGTGGTTAAAATGGGCGGATGGCTCTTTCAAGCACTTCACGAAGAACAGAATATCACCAATTTATATTTGGTATGGTCTTTTTTCATTTGGGTATGCATAGTTGCCAACTTTTCCGGAGGACAATCCGGGAAAGCGTGCGACCGCGCCCCCTTATAAAGGCGCCACGTGCCACTTATTACGTTATGTAACGCACACTTATATAGAGCCATCTTGCACATGCGCGTATTGAGCCCTCGTGTTTACAGGCAGCGCAAAGTAGCAGAGCCCAAGCTACCAAGTAGTAGTGAATAAAGGTACGGTTTGAACTCTTGAAGAGGTCATCAAGTGGATGCACTGGCTAACACCCAAATGAAAAGACTGTAGCTACCCAAATTTTAAAGACCATCCACCCAAATTCAGCAACTAGCTACACCACTGCATTATAATTTGACACTGATCTCACCCCATAAAAAGCACTGCAAATCGTTTTTGGTAGCTACTCTGTTGCTTCCACAAACATTATAAAGGATAATCATTCTAGGAAAATACAGACACATCTGACATGTGTTCACATGGCTCCCTAAATAAACCATCACAGTTGCACTTGTCCATAAGCAGTATTGTGAGAAGTGGGAATGTTGTCCTTGTGTACTGGACCATATGCTTCATTGGAGGTAAGGTGAATGTCTTGTGAACTCTTGACCTCTCCCACCTCCTCATAGGTGACTGACGGAGGGTGGGGAGGGGGAGAGAAGGAGGTTGGGCCAGACAACCTGCCCCTCACTCTCTGTATGAGGTACAGCCCCACCACTCCCAGTAGAATTCCAATAGTTAGAAACACAACACTGCACACAACACCAACAATGACTACTGCAGTTTCATGGTCCTCCATCATTCCAGATTCAGTCACATACTCTGAATAAAAAAGTCCAAAATAATATTAAATTACCTTTGCTCTCCCTCAACACAGTGAGGTGTGGTAGCATTTAACTCACTTTCGTTACTGATTATCAGCTCAAGAGCTGTTCTGGCAGGGCAAAATGTAAAAGTTGCACTAGTAAATTCAGCCACCCAACTATTACGTAGAGTAAGAGTGTATGTAAGTCATGCCTCCATGTTACACATGCTAATTGACAGGGTCAGTGAGCCGCGCTGATCTGGCTAATTACGACCGGAACGGGTCATTCTGACTGAACATATCACCGGACAGGCAGCAGCCAGAACATTACTATAATATTGCAGTCATTCCTTCGTATATTATGTAAATGACAGTTTACCTCACTAGAGCACGTCTTTCGTATTTCATGGTCTAGTCTAACCACTAGCCCTATCCACTTCCCGTATTTCATTATCCACGATTTATATGAAGTAAGAACCTACATTTTCTCATGCAGAGTCAAAACGCAAAATGGATTACATCATTCTGCTAGTGTCAAAACGTAGCTATGCATGCTGACATTATGTGTGACAAGAACGAGGCCAAAGCCAAGCATACAAACGTACATTCTTAGAACATGTGTGTGAAAAAACGCTCCCTTCACTCTTTACTCTCGATGTGCTTGGTTGTGAAGTTACTAAGAAACAGACTTTCAGTGGCCCAGTCAGTAGGAGGCAAATTCACTGAGGTATTCATGCACCCAGGGGTACCCACCACAGTGCCACAAAGTATACAAATCTTGGCAAGAATCTCCAGCGGAAGGTCTAGAGAATCCATCGATACAAGCTGGAAGAGATATTTACATATAATAGATGAGATAACCAATACAGCAGCTTTTAAGCTATGGCCTACATGATTCAACTCTGGCGTGTGAGACTTAAACACATTCCACTTCAAATGTCTGGGGGCACGCAACATGTTGAACACAATTTGCATGGTCTATCATACCCATACAGTTGCATCTCACACAACAAGATTGTGTATATCATGGCGCTTATCAAATCACAGAATGTACACACATACGTAATGCATACAGACCTGTACAGCCTCTGTCTGGGTCACTGGTGGAAGTGGCACCGTTCACAGGAGTCGCTGCGTTAGTCTCACACTCACAGACACCTGGAGGACTGGAGAGCTCTCTGCCACTGAAGTCAGGACACATGACACAGTCTCCTTCGTGTAGTAACATGTCCTTTGGACAGTCTGCAGGCCGAAAAAAAGATAGCTGAACGCTATACAACTTTTCAACTTGTCCATGGATTGTTTTAGGGAAAACGATAAAAATCTAAGGTTGAAAAAATATAGCTGATTGTTATACATCATTTCATGGATCGTTTTAGGATAAACAATAACATCTAAGTTTGAAAAAATTGCTGAATGCTGCACACCATATCAATAGGCAAAAACATTAAATTGGATAAGTTTGAAAAAAATTGGGCCAGCCTCTCCAGACAGACGTCTACGGACGCAGTGCTGTGCCGAACTATACGTTGCCCTTTGAGAAACGTGGTTCGGTGGTATAACCTGTGCAAACTGATTGCAAAGAACGGAGATGTGTAATTTGGTCCTACTGTATAATGTATTTACCCACTTCAAGACTGGGTGACTTACTGTTACAAGGACTATCGGAGGTGGTCATACTCCCATCACTGGTGACCAGAGCTGAGTTACAGGTACAGGAACCCTCAGGATCATCAATGTTTCTACTACTGCCTCCTGGACAAGGCTGACACTCCCCCCCTACCCTGAAATAACTAGTGTTGCACACTGCCGCGTGTGGAGACAGAGAGGGGAAGAAAGAAGAAGCAGAAGTGAGTTATAAAAAATTATAGAGCCGCCTTTAAAAATTGTACCCTAAAATACGTAATTATAGCTGGTGTTGTAATGGTGTGTGGAGGGAAGGAAGAAGGTAGACAAAATGGGCAAAACATTGTAAGTGGGGAAATAGGGAGCCACCTTTAAAATATCTTGCCTCCAACCCCTCAGAAATAGTTTGTGAACTCAAGAAATTATTGACAAAAAACTCACAGTTGCAAGGTTCAGTTGGGCTTTTGAAAGATTCTCTGTAGTAACCAGTTGCACACACTGAATGAAAAGAAACATGCGAGTTGCGAACAGAAACATATGCATTTCTGGTGAGCAAACACAATTACAGAGTTACAGTTGCTCAGCATAATTATTATATGCAAAATGTTTAATTCCGTGTATGGCAGCAACAGTGCTGTTAGATATTATAACTGTACATTCAGACGACTACTAGTGTATGTCCAATTAACTCTCAGCACACACAGACACTGGACGCTATTTTTTTCTTAACTACATTATTTTTCATAACATCCTGAGCAGATGTGGTGGTGTGTGGGCACTCAATTCGTCCCTGACGCAAGGTTCCCAGTGCAGTGTACAGTGAACTTCATGTCGTCTCCTCAATCCTCTCGAACACTCCTGGGTGCACACGGATATACCCTCACCTCCCTTGATGTCATGAAGAAGTGTTTTCGCCACATTCTGTGAAAAGCCAAGAATATAAGAGGAGACAGTGGAAAGCTATTATCGACTCACAGTCTTTATCCACCATTGAGCTCCCAGAATGGGGAAATTGCACAATCATAATTTACATGAGATAGTGAGTTAGTAACCAACACAACAGCTATTAATATATGCCTCCCTAATGATTCAACTCGGTCATGTGAGACTGATGAACACAGCAACTTACAAATGTATGGGTGCACGAAAAAATCGTGAACAACAATTTGCATGGTCATACATAACCCATTGTGTGTCTTTTTCTAGTTTTTGTTGTTTTTTTGTTGTGGGGAGGTGGGTGAGGGTGGGGAAGGGGGTGTTGTGGGGGGGGGTGGGGGTGGGTGGGGTGGTAAATGCTGGGAAAGGTCGGGGGGGCGGGGGGGTGGGGGGTGTGATGTTGGTGGGGGGGGGGGGTGTTGGTGTTTTGGGGTTGGGGGTAATGAGAGGTTTGTAGGTTGGTTTTGTTTTGGTGTGTTCATCTTATGGTGTGTGTTTTTGGTCGGGTTGTTTGTATCTGGGTTGTCTCCCCAGATTTTATTTTTGGTGTTTTTGTGTTGCTCAGTTTCGTCTCTTGAGTATAGTGGTAAACCAACTTTTTTCTTTCATTCGTTAGCTGATTAAGGTGCTATGGCCTACATGATTCAACTCTGTCATGTGAGACTGAAACACATGCAACTTCAAATGTATGGGTGCACGCAACATGTTGAACACAATTTGCATGGTCCATCATACCCATGTGTCAATATAAAAGGGCTACAATTAGGACAAAACAATAGGGGCACAGTGAAAGAATGCAATTACCTTAATCCACATTCCCTTTAAAGTTGCGCATCTCATGCAACAAGGTTGCATCGTGTATCATGGCGCTTATCAATTCATAGAATGTACACACATACATATGCATGCAGACCTGTACAGCCTCTGTCTGGGTCACTGGTGGAAGTGGCACCGTTCACAGGAGTCACTGCGTTAGTCTCACACTCACAGACACCTGGAGGCCGGGTGATCTCTCTGCCACTGAAATCAGGACACATGACACAGTCTCCTTCGTGTAGTAACATGTCCTTTGGACAGTCTGCAGGTTGAAAAAAAGATGGCTGAATGCCATACCTACATTCCATTTCAACTTATCCATGGATTGTTTTAGGGAAAACAATAAAATGTAAATATAGTTCATTGTTATACCATGGATTGTTTTAATAAGATCTAAGGTTGAAAAAATTGCTGAGTGCTGTACACCATATCCATAGGCAAAACAGGTTGCAAAAATATTTTGGCCAGCCCCCCATCTCTCCAGACAGACATCTACGGACGCAGTGCTATGCCGAATGAAAAGCACTTGAAAGTGCATAACCCTCGCCACTTTATTCTTTATTTCAGCAGCCAATGGCTACTAGCTACACTACGTCAGTTTTTGCCACATGCGCGTTCAATACTAGTTACTACTACAGCAAAGTGAAAAGCACTGGTCTTGACAACCCTCACCACTATTCAGCTACATACACTATAGCTACGCTACCTCAGTGACTCCTTCACTGAACGGATTCACTGGGGCGTGTGCTGCTCTCACTTCACCGGCAATCTCGATCCTACTCAACTGTATATATATACCATCAATACAGCCAGACCAGCAAATTTTCTCCATACACGCAAAGCATCTAGCATCATACAACGATGGTTCGCGATCTCTATTTAACATCGGCAGCCGTCCGTTTCACCAGCTTCCCCGGGCTTCTCCGCTCCAGAATCTTATTTTACCATGCATTCCTCCTAGTTGAAAATATGTCCACGTTTCACGCTCAGAGTTGCCGCGGTTACCGAGAAAAACGGTGGACAGACGGACGGACGGACGGACGGACACACACACACACACACACACACACACGCACAGACCAACTGCAATAACCCTCGCTGCGCATGCGCGCAGGCGAGGGTTAATTATACGCTGCCCTTTGAGAAACGTGGTTCGGTGGTAGATTCATGGGTATGGGGAGGAACCAGAGCTGTTCCCAAGCCAATGCCCTGGACCACCTGTCACTTTCAGTGCGGGTCCGGGCTTCGAACCGGGCACCTATGCTGTGAGTCCCCACGTCCCTAACCACTTAGCCACTTGGGCTGGCCACGAGAGCTGATGAAAAAACATTCCTCTTATATCAACACACATATTACATCATTACTAGTAGGTGAATGCACTGCATTTTTGGCGAGCGGGAGCGATCTAACGATTGTGTGCATGTGTAGTAACTGTAGTCGACCCTCTCTCTCCTCGGCAGACTCGGCGGCAATTCGCCTTGTCTGATAGCTTCGGATCTGTTGGAGCCTGGCCTGTTGCGTTTCCTCTGATTCCCCATCATCGTGTAGCTCTTGCTCGTACACGACTTCGCTAGTCGTGCTTCCCTTTCTTCCGCTGTTTCCGTGGCCAGGCGTTGCCTTGCCCGTTCCCCATCACGCAGTCGCCGTCGAGAAAGACGAGCCTCTCTTTGCTCAGAAGTCTCACAGGCACGACGTTCTCTTTCCCTTTCTCGTCGACGACGAAGGGCATCTCCTCTAGACCGATCCATCGCAGAAACTGTTGTTGGCTTCCTCGAGTGATAATAATTATAATAGAAAAATCGCGCCGTTCGTACCACTAGGTTAGCTCGCTCCCGCTCGCCAATCATGTTTGAGCAAACGTGTATTGGCGTCATAGCCCCACTGTGGGACTCCACGCCGAGGGTTTAGCACTTCAGTGGCTTTCATTAGGTTGGGTTAAAATATTGTCTCTTGTAGCACTCTGACACAGGCTAGCTACACTACTACATAGCATGCACCTGCTGGAGTCAACACTTAACCAGCCGCGGACACATAATGTGTCCAGAGGCTCAATGTGTCCATAAGCATTATTATATATGGGGGTTATAAGACTAGCCGCTAATACTTATTACATAAAATTCTGCTTATTCAAGAAGATACCCATGGCATCCAAAGGGTACATAATCACCCTGCGTTGCAACGAATGGTGCCTCAAAACATAAGGAAATCAAGCAAATCTGGTCGAGGTAACCTGTGCTAACTGATTGCAAAGAACATGTGTAACTGGGTCCTACTGCATATGTATGCAAACATCAACAAGGCCGCAAGGCAACAGCAAACAATTCAACTATATAAACCAAAAACAACTCCTTTTCTCTAAGGAAAAATTAAGAGCTACCCTAGGTGGGATTCGAACCCACAGCATTCGATCTGCAGTCTAGGCTGAGAGCTGTACCAACTGAGCTACCAGGGCAGCTCAGCTGGTAGGGGCTCAAATCTACAAGGCAAAGCTGATTATTAACCCTCGGCGCGCATGCGCAGTGAAGGTTACGGTAGTTGTCCCGTAAGTGTGTCTGTCAGTCTGTCTGTTACCACGTTTTCTGCCACCGCGCGCAGTAAATAGCGATATGATCGGGTTCAGTGCTACACTGGGTTGATTTTTAAAAAAAGGCGATTTTCGTAAAACTACTGTGTTTTAAAGTTATGGCGTGAAAACCAAGTGAACAAGCCAATATGTAAATTAGCACAGGCTTACCTCGAACGTGTCCGTTCGCTCTGTGTGTCTTGAAGGCACAACAAGTCACAAACGAAGGGCATGTATCGACTCCCGCATGCTATTTACTACTGTAGCTAGCCCGTGCCAGACTCTCCGCGAGCTACTAGCGGGATACCATGAGTAAAGGCATAAAAAGCCCAGCCCATCAATTAGTGGTACCGCACATGCGCAGTTCGCCGAGGGTTTGCACTTCAGTGCTTTTCATTATACATGCGCCGCGCCTGAGCAAAGCCCTGTGGGGATGAATCTCATTAGTTCAAAACCACAAGTGCTGCGCTCAACTTTGCCTTTATCTCGTGATACCAGAGAGAGAAGTTGCGGTATGCTTTGCTGATGAGGGCTAACAAGCCTGTCCAGAGCTCCGCATCTTTTTTCTCTTGGCATCACATGGTCTATTGTTGCATGTACATATTTCACGGGACAACAAAAGTCGGTCCTACTGTATGTGTATATAGTACATACTTCATGGAACAACAAGACTGGGTGACTTACTGTTACAAGGACCATCGGAGGTGGTCACACTCCCATCACTGGTGACAAGAGCTGAATTACAGGTGCAGGAACCCTCAGGTTCATCAATGTCTCTGCTACTGCCTCCTGGACATGGCTGACACTCCCTCCCTACCCTGAAATAACTGGTGTTGCACACTGCCACGAGAGAGGGGAAAGAAGAAGTGAGTTATAAAAAAGAGAGCCATCTTTAAAAATTGCACCCTAAAATACATAGCTGGTGTTGCATATGGCGTGTGGAGGGAAGGAAGAAGGTAGAGAAAATGGGAATAGTTTTATAGCAAAATTGTAAGTGGGGAAATATATGAAGTGCCGTTTGTCTCAGAACTACTTTTCTTGGACCAAGCCTAAACGTCGCGTGAATTTACGTAAATATCGCGAGAGTTTAGCTAAACCTCGCATGATTCTAGCAATCGTCGCACGAGTTTAGCTAATCAGCGCATGACTTTAGTATCCATCGTTGCATTTAGCAAAAAGGGCATTACTTTACCATCATCATCGATATTTAGCTAGCTTCATATGACTTTCGCAAAAGGTACATGACTTTAGATAACTGCCGCGGAATTTTAGCATCCGTTGTCAATGTTTAGCAAAATTTGTGTTTACTTTAGCATCCGTCGTCGACTTTACTTGGAAAATCTCATCACATTAAACTCATCGCCGACATTTAGCCGCAAACCCAATGCAGCATCTGTGTGTCTCCTGCTGAGCACGCATGCGCATAAGTTTAACTTTGATCCCGTCGCCGGGGAATTGGATGGCTGAATCTACTATATAGGTTGCTCTTGGAGCAGACTATTCGAGATGCTGTTTCAAGAGTACTTTCTCCATGGTCTCCTGAACAAAGTCATGTGTTGATTAGCTAAATTCGTGCGACGATTGCTAAACGCAACGATGGATACTAAAGTCATACGCTGATTAGCTAAACTCGTGCGACGATTGCTAGAATCATGCGAGATTTAGCTAAACTCTCGCGATATTTACGAGTTTCTGGCAAGCAAACACAATTCTAGAGTTACAGTTGTTCAGCATATTATTATATTATACATGATTGCAAAATGTTTAATTCCCTGTAGGGTAGCAACAGTGCTGTTAGATATTATATCTGCACATTCAGACGACTAGTAGGTAGGCCCATTTAACTCTCCAAACACACACAATTGATGAATTGTTTTCTTAACTCAATTTCTCCCACACTTGAGCAGGTGGTGGTGGTGGTGGTAGGACTCAATTCGTCATTGACAAGGTTCCCGGTGCAGGTACAGAACATCATGTCGTCTCCAACTTCTCGAGTACTTCCTGCTGGACACGGATCACACGCACCTCCCGATGTCATGAAGAAGTTTTCAGCACATTCTAGTGAGGAGCCAAGAATATAAAGAGAAACGGTGAAAGCTATTATCGACTCACTCTTTATTCCAACATCTGAACCTCCCAGAATGGGAAAAATGACTTACATTTAAAAACAAACTGCCCAATTATGACTCGCACATACAATTGATACCATTTGATAACTTTTATACCGCCTGTACCATCTGTTGTACTCATTTCACCCACCTTCGTGCATCAGCTCGCGTGTTTTGCTAGTCCCAAGTAAGCCCTGTATGTTAATTGTAGCCCTTTTGAAGTCCTGTTTTCTTTCTCCTTTTCTTTCTTTCTTTTTATGTATATAGCGTGAGCTGTTCAGTTTTCATACAATAATGCATAATGGCTACGTTGTACATACGTATATATGTACATCATACTCATTCTCGTGAGACCGACGAGTCAGGAATGGAAGTAAGCAGAGAGGGGGAAATGGGGTTTCATATCAACTATGGCTCTTACATAATGCTTACATACGTCCATCACAAGATTGTGAAATGCCACACATGTAACATGACTACACACACTTTCAAGCAAGAATTACCAATGATTTCTTACGATATTTAGGAAATGGTGTAGCTCTTACCGCCACACGAAGGTCCAGTGTAGCCAGGTGCACACTCGCAACCAGTCCTGTCAGAGTTAGGGACCTGGCCATTGGTACAAGGCTCACATTGTTCGTTTCCCACTGTCGCCGTGAACAAACCAGCACCACACGCTGCAGAATGTGTGTGTGTATTGCAGGAAGTTGTGGCAGAGAGATGCAAGAGAAAATGAGAGATACAAAGAGGATTAGGGAGTTGTATATAAGTCTCCATAAGAACATACACCAGTGTTCAACTGTTAACATTTAGCACAAACATTTTTCACCATACATGTACATATACACTTTTGCATCTCAAAAGCATCGGTTAACCACTTTTGTAAAACTCTTCCACGAAAACTATAGCTACGCACACACATAAGGGATCCAAGGAAACTATTAATTTTTACAGTTAGTAAACTGTATATAGGTGTTGATCAATACTACTTAGATTAGCCAACTTTGTGTACATATCTGAAAATAACATGTTTTGTTACCAAAAGAGTTTGTTGTTTGTTAAATGTTTCAGAGGATGTACCCAGCTTTGTGTAATGTGGTGCCCATTAATTAGCAATG